TTTGATTTTTATCAAGAAAAGACATGAGAGGTTTTGTTTGGATTTTTCCCAGCTAAAAGAACAGAATAGGAAAAGATTTTCTGAGGTCACTGAGGCACAGAAACTAAAGTGATTATTTAGCTTCTGTGTCAGCACAACCTCCTTTGCAGTGTCCTACCTGCCAGAAGACAGATGACTTAGTACAGAAACCTAAGTACAAACAAAAATAGAACAGAAATTGGAAGATTTAAGAAGGCCAAGCAGAAGAATTTATAAAAGTTTGTCCAGTATTTTAGTCAGCAAGAAGCTTTCTTAAACATAATGCAAGAACCATTAGATATCTATTCACATTACACCTATCAGAATTTAGTAGAAAATCTTTTCATAATTACAACTAATTCAAATTCAAGGCAGTTCCTTCAGTAAGTACCTTCTTGCTTATATTTATTTTACTAAGCTAGTCTCAATAATGAAATTCCAATTAGTGATCTTCTATTAACAGCACATATTCAGTTTGCACCCTTTGAGAACTCCTTTGCTTTCATCAACTAAACAAGATTATATTCCTTCAGAAATTGCATTATTCAGATTTGCGTGTATAGGTTGAAACTTGTTGAACCATCACATAAAATCATCACTGCAATTACCTTTTCCAGTTCTCATTTCTGAACAGATGCCAGTGAGGGACACAGTGGCAGAAACAACCTTAAATGCAGTACTTTGATTCTTCCACCAGAATGATTATCTGCACTGGATTTTTCAAAGATCAAGATCACATAAATGCTTAGCAGTTTACCCAAAATAAAGGAGTTTATGGAAAGGTCCAAGTATAACCTTAAACTCAGACAAAGATGTGACAGAAGCCACTTAATATCCCTCATAAGGATAAGAAGGATAGGAGACAAGAAGTATGATTTGGCATTTTTTTAATGTCAAGGAATTTTCTATGTAGAAAGTTGGGTTTGTATTTAAAGCAATTATGCTCCTGTATGAGAACTCAAAAGAATTTGACAAAATATACAACACTTATTTCCTTATTTTTATAGCTGACCTTTAAAAACATGTTTTTAAACATACTGCCCATTTAGCTATTATAGTTCATAATTTTAAAAGCATGTTACCATTCAGGATGTACAGAACAGACAGCATGGTTCCCTTTTCTTCTCCCGCAGATTAATTTAGCATAGCTATTTTTATTTGACACATAAGAACACACTCTAAATTAGCAATGGAAGGACACCTGGCTATTCAGCAAGTAAGTTCCTGCTCTCAGTCAAACATTGCAGAAGGTGTTCTCTCTATTACAGACATAGCACAACCTTTAAATTAACATCTAATTTTCGACCTCAAGGTTAAACTTAGTGTCTGTGAATATTTACAACTTTAACATTTCATCATTTGAAAATTTAAGCACCAACTTTTTCCTACTTTAAGACAGGAATTTTGGAATAAAAAGACAGTATGATTGTACAATCAGGATGGGAGGGTTTCCATAAAGGCAACCAAAATGAATTCTAGACCTAGAAATCACTCCTTGGCAACACCTTTTTATAGCAATGCCTGCATTTGCACACAGTAAAAAACAAATTACATACAGGTAAGGTTGGCAAAAATACCCCTTAATCTGCAGTAGAAGAGCACTATCTCTATAAGTGCTGGGAAGTGCAGCTGCAGCATGTATTCCCAGGGAACTGCATGAGCTGTACATCCCCCACTGTGACACACACAGCTCCAGCTACAATGCTGCTGGCACTCAAACTTTACAGAGTGAAACCAGCTGAGAGAACACTACATATCTTATAACTCATTCCACAATATCTAATAAAGTTCTACACAACTGTTGAGATCTACCTCAACTAAACTCTTACAAAGCAGATGCTTGTTTCAACATAAAACTGACTGAAAAATCAAGGTCTGCCTGGCAAAAACAAGCATTCATCTTTGAAAGATGACTTCATGTGCTACATGACTATTTTTCTTCTTTGAAGACAAATAAATGCATTTTTCAATGCATTTTCAAAAATATAGCACATTTTTAATTTTTTTTTAAATCCAGTTAAGAGAGGGAAAGGTAGTTTTCTGGAACACAGAATAACTGAAATTACTTCATTTATTTGAAAGTTATTCCTGTTTTGATTTTCTATGTATCAAGTCCCAGTAATACAGCAGTACCTAAATTAGGCATTGAACAAGTGATCAAGTTAAGGATGATAACATTTACTCAGTTCTGAATCAACTTAAAATTGTGAGTTCAAAAGCTACAGCATATAACATTGAGGTCTCCTAACTCTGCTATCAATAAAAATGAGTTCAAACTATAGGGAAAAAATATTCTAAAGGCTGAGTTAAGATATAACTACCTTAAAACACTAAAATTAAAAAAATTAAAGAAATTTTTTGTGACCAACTTATTATCTCCATTGGTTTTACCTGACTCTAATTTAATATTTTTTAAAGACTAATGCTGTTTTAAATATCTTGTCTAAAACAAGGTAAATGCACATGTGTGCATACAGTGGCTAATTTGACAGATATGACTGAGATAAGTGGTTCACCTACATCAGATAAAGAGACTGAGATGACAGAGAGACATGCAGTCTTCATTCAGTACCTTTACTAGGTATAAACACCACCAAGTACTTGAGTATTTGGGTGTTCATTTGTAATCAAAGTCAGAAAATAAATATATATATATATGTATATATATACACACATACATGTTTATCAAGAGCTAGATCAGACAATAGCAGGGAAACTTTCGGATCTGCAAGCAGTATGAGAATCACGACCACAGGCTCACTGATTCTCTTCTGGGGCATCCAGGACCACCAAGACCAACTCACCTCTTTGCTCTCTTCATATCATCAGAGATACCATGTCATTCTGAATGGCTGCTGTTTCTACCATAATTTCCTAAAGGGATTGTTGAGATCCCAGCTATCAAAGTCCATCGTAAGTAGAAGGTCAACAGCCAAAACTTGGAGCAAAGAGATGAGTTTGAATGGCTCTGGTCATGCTGCCATGAAGGAATATTTTACCTCAGCTCTTGTTCTACAAATGACCACCCTTCCAGAACCTCTAAAATATCTTCTACTACAACTTGGCAAAGAGGAGACAGTGGACAAATGTAAAGCAGCCAACAAGGATACAAAACAAGGGTTTACATATCCATTTGACTATCTCAGGCACAACAATACTTTCTCAAATGAATTTTTGAGATCAGTAAAGGAGCACCCAATGGGACATCCAGCTTCCCTGTTCATGCCTTACCTAAATCAGGATCTGAGGACCAGCAAGTAAAATCCATGCATATATGTGAGTTATAGAAATCATAAGTAAACAACCAAAGTGAAAAAGATAAATGTACTAACCCATTTACACAATAGAAGCACTGTATAGCAAAATTTTCAAAAACTGACAAGTACAAAAATCACATCAGATACTATATCCTGCAAAACTTTACCACACAATGAAAAACTTGACAAAACAATAAGGAAGCAGGCCAAAACTGCTTCTAACAAACCGGTATGGTGAGGTACTTCAAAGTTGTTACTGAAAATGTAAACATTGAATGATATTTTGTACTAAAACTATCCAAGAAATTATTTTTACATTGTTTAACTTCCTTTGTACTGATCTTAAAGTGCTCTGGGAATACTCTGATCTGATTATCCAGTGGACTTCCCAAAGACGAAGAAAAGCTTCCATACAGTGCATAAATACAACTTCTTCTATGTGGGTATACATAAACTCCACTAAGATAAGGGAAAAGTTTCCAAACATACCAAAATCTCCACAGCATCTAAAATACTCATTATCCCGCTCAAACATACAGCTAAGTGAAAATAATCAAAGCAGACAGCATCACAAACATTCAAGAAGTATAATAAGAATGAAACTATTAATATTGTTTTCTGATCGGACAACGTGCTCATTTTCTGTTCACTCTATTAATTACTAACCAGTTATGCTGGCTCTTTTAAACAATCACCAGAGCATGACTTGGGCAGAGGGATGCACACAAAGGCAGAATCACATTTTACAGCATCCATTAAGTGACCTGAAATTGAAGCCCTTTTGCAATATTATCTCTAGTAAATATGAATAAACTCATATTTGTAGCTAGACTATTTACAGAAAATTTTACATGACAGAAAATGAGACAGGTCACAGCGCAAATTTTAAGTGTCTAGCGCAAGAAGAGAACTGTCTTACAAATTACCACTACAGTGAGGAGGAAAGCAAAAAATGAGACAATTAGAAAAGATACATGACAAAAAGGCAGTTAGATACGGCTTCCAAAGACATTTTTGTTACAATTTACATATTGTGCATTTCACTTACAAAACTAAAACCTTAAGCTTAAACTCTCCAAGCATATAATATGAGTATGTATTATATCCCTATGTCAGTTATGTGCACTTTGACATTCCATTTCTATATTATATTAAGGCTGAAATGAAGTTTCTGTCCTCTGTTAATCTTGAGTATTTTGAACAGCGAAACACTGCCACCTTTTGGCTTGATACATAGGCCTCCCAATTTTAAATGTAGAATTCTATATTTTGCTCCATTTGTCCTTATGGAGGTGGTTGAATCCTTGAGGTCTTATCTAAAATTTTATTCAGTAGATATACTTTACCAGGAAGAAAAACATACAGTACTAGTCAATAAGGAAATTTTTTCTCATAAGTACATGGCCAAGCAACCCAAAACTACACTCCTTTAGGCCACATGATGTTTTATCTATTTTCCATCTCACAACTCTTTGTTCTTGGCAGTTTTGGCACACATACACACTGTATCACATGATAACTTGCACTGCATTCCTTTCAAGTAAAAGCCAGATAATGCATTCTTTGAACATCTGAGTTTTGAAAACAGACAACAGAAGCAACAATAATGCATTATTTAAAATGTTAGGTTCCTTGCTCATGTACATACCTACATTATTGTAGACAAAACACTGATAATTCAACATCTACATAAGCATGTATTGAAATGTATGCAAAATTACTTACACCAGTGACACAATGTCCCCACGTTGTACATCGTAATTTCTAATGCTCCAGTGGTTCAAGAGTACTACATCAGATGCTTGTCTTCCCCCAGGATTCAAAGAAGGCTGAGAGAAGGGGAGAAAAACAGATCTACATTCAGATCGACACTTTCTTTTTCAATCTTCCCCCTAGTTATCTTTCCATCAACAGGGGAAACCCATTAAAATTGGTAAAAACCATACCCACTTACTGTAAGAGGCCAAGAATCTGTTACATTACAGGAAATACATTTGAAATACACTTCTTCATTAAATGACATGTTAAAAATCATTAATTTATGACAACTACTGCATGCAAATCAGATTACATAGGATACATACTTATGTTGTCATTATATTGCAAAGGCTCCATATTGCAAGAGATTCATACCTCCTCGATGAGTCTCATAGGCAGCTCCTCTAAGCACTGACTCTTCCTTCTTCTTACAGTAGCCAACTGACTCCAGTTCCCCCTCCACCAACCAATCCACCCTTTTATAGCACTCTTCTTCTTATCAGCTACAGCTGTGGCCTGTTAAGGTCAGGCCTGCTCCTAATCTTTAATAATTAGCTGAGCTGCAACTCCTTAGGGGTAAGATTACTTTCTATACTACCTTTATTTTCTTATATTCTATCCCCCTACATACTTACGGCAAACCTGATGAAAAGAAGGGATTGCTGCTACTCCTTATCATTTAATATTAAAATCAAAGGAGAACCAAGTACACTAATTCCCAGGAGGAAAAAAAAAAAAACCAAGCTTTTTACAGGCATCTTACTATTTATAAAAGCATAATGCACTAAAAATGAAACATGGACTTGTAGCAATACTAATCTCAGCATCCTTTGCAAAGGGGAAAAACAAGCCCTATACCTACAGCACACACAGACACTGGCAACAAATGTGGGACTTCCATAACAGGACACTAAAGGGCATGAATCAAAATAACCAAGTAATTAATGAACAATTAGGAGGCACATCTAATCGCCCCCCAAAAAAATTATTTTGTGTGATATGATACAAAACCAGGATACCTGATCAATGCTGCCTCTGAGTTAACTCTTGGTAAAGGGCAGAGGAAGAAGCCCATCACAATACTGTCTTTATTTTTGCAAGGCTTACTTTAAAACAAAGACTCCTTTTACTTGACAGAAATTATTTAAGAGTATTCCAGACTGAAGTTTTCTAATAATTATTTCTCAGAAAGCTTTTTCAGGGTCTTCAAACAAAATTACAGTATGTCCCAAGTTGGCCAAGAGATAATCACTAATTAGAGTTAGGCAAAATATCCAATAAAGCACATAGTGTTGAAACTAAGCTACTCCTCCTTTGTATGGTAATTGCAATATTAGCTAAAAATTTCGTTATTGTTGCTGTTGTTGTAGAAAAGGCACTTACACTTTAACTTGAAGCACCACATAAACCACTGGACTTTTACTGCTAATATTCCCCTCTCCAAACTGATGGTACCCTTGATGAGTAAACCAACAGGAGGACTGAAATTAACTCTTCTCAACCCTAGTAATTACACAGTGTCAAATTTCATTCCATCATTATTCAGTAAACTGCTCTCAAATAAAATGGTTATTTAGTATTTATTTTTAACTTCAAAAGCAATGTCTCTTTATTACAGTTTCTTCATTCATCATTGCTAAATAGATGGGTTCACAAAGACATGCTTCAAATGGGATTTGTGAAAAAATAGTTTTTCAAGGTGCAAGAGGAAGCCATGTGGTAGGGTCCTAAGTAGGTGTAATTCACATGAACAGTAAGCAGTAAGTTAGGTCAAAAGAATAAGCATGGGAGAGGGGCAGGGATATGACATCATTTGTTAAAGTGCAAACGAGGCCAGTTACATTTTGGGCTACAGGCAAATTTCCAGTAAGGTAAATCAGGGGATCAAAGCAGATCACTTTAATATCCATAGAGATATGGTCTGAGTCTAAGCTATAAATATATTAATACTCATTGCTGTTTTATTTACTAGACTCAATGCACTTCGAGAACCAGATAAATGAAAACCAGGAGCTAATTAGCAGTTATTTTATTAGTAGTTTTTTATCAAGAGTTCCAGAATTACTTATCACCTCTACAGCATTTTCCACCAAAGGATGGTGGAATATATATTTATATATATTTACATACAAGAGACTTACATACAAACTCACAAACAATTCAGTCATACTCACTTTGCCAAATGCAGGTACATAGGGGCCAGAATCTTTCAACACTACTAAGTATAAGGCAGAGGCCAATCTTACAAAGCAGGAATCATACATATGACATATTCTCACAAAGTAAACTCCTTAGTACTCAAAGGTATCTGCCTTAAAAGGCCAAAAGAGGAGGATGAAACCTTTAATAGAAACCTTAAAACCATTGTTCCAAAAGATAATGTATCTCACAGCTGATATTTAGAATATCTCTAAATAAGTGCTCACACACTTTTTGTATCACATAAACTTACATCAACTACATCTTACAGAGAAATACACCAGGTAGGTACAGTATTGCCCTAGTTGCACTATCCGAGTTGACTCCTATTTTTTATGCATTTAAACAAAGGGAATACCTTAGAATTCAAATACATTTGGATATTGCATAAGCTTTTTTTAACTTAAAGCACTCTAAATGCATTTTTAACAATACCTGACCTCATTTTGACATACAGAGTGGATATTCAACTCATACATTAGAATGGTATTTGAGAAAAATACGACAGTATAGGCTTTTTTCTTCTCTCTCACAAAAAAAAAAAATAAACCTGACAAACATGCAGACAATAATAGTACTTTGTTAGAAGAAAGTGAAGGAAAACTAGGAGACAACTATTCATTTACATCATCACTATTGTCTATTTAAAAAATAAAAGGATAAATCCTTCAGCAAGCCTCTCTATTATAAATAACTTCTCTATTCTATATTCTTCTCTATTGTAACTAACTGAGATTCCACAACAAACAAGTATAGAAACAATACAACTTATTCCTCATGATATTTTAACTACTAGTAAGGTTTCAGGTCTAGGAAAATCAAAATACAGCTTCTGCAAAAGGAGTCAATAAATAGGGTCACAAGGACTTTTCATAAGAAACAAAATGACAGAGGTTTCTTCCTTCTAGTCTGAAGCATTATAACTTCTTTGCTCAAGTTTTTGGCATAAAAGCCTGCTACAAATAAGGCACACAGGTCTTAATTTAAACTGTGGTGCAGAAGCCACAAAACATTACTCCTTCCAATTACTAACTAATCTAATGCTAAAAGCATGCAAATTGAGATCCCCAGCCATATGACAAAGCCTCATAGGACATGAGGTTCCATAAGTAGGAGGGTAAAAACATGCCCTTTTGCTATAAATAATGATTAACTTGATAGTTGTTATGCTGCTAGTGAAGGTCACAACTTATTTGCTTGTAGCTTGGGGAACACAAAGAATATTCACATGAGCTTACAGGCTTAAGTACAGTAATCCTAATAATAAAGTTAGGAGAAACTGCCACAGAATAATTACAACTGCTATTATGCATAATGGAATAGAACATTCAATAATGTTTGCTGCAGAAACATGAGTGCTTCATCAGAGATCGCTGCTCAGGCCACTTCCTATAATCCTTGGTGTTGAACTGTTTGCAATAGAACTTGCATATAAAGCTGCACATACACTGTCATTTTCTATCCCACTTTAAAACAGTCCATTTGATTTAGTGAATTTACAAATTTATATATCCGTGAGGGGTTCCTTTTCCACATCTTTATGTATGAAGAGTCTGTCATACTGGACAAGCAATGAAACTCAATAAAAAAATAACATAAATCAATATCAAAGTGTCCAGATGACAACAAACATTTTAAAGACACTACAAGAAGTCACACAAAAAAAATTCACAACAGTCAATTAAGAAATCTTACTACCAGTTATTTTTTTCACTTACATTTAGTATGGTAAACAGATTACAAACTCACTATAAACACACAATTAATAGAATGCTAGATGAGCATATCAATCTAAAATCCTGAGCAACAGAACTACCTCATGTGATGATTTAAAAACCCAGTAAATTTGGAAATGAAAGAGAAGGTAATGAAACTATTAAAACTGTTAAAATTATAAACTGCAATAGCTCACACTTATTCCCTATAGGTTAGAGTTAATACACATATACACTGAAGTCAGCACAAGAAAAATTATGACAGGTGGCTGAAAGCACTGAAAAATACAAAATCAGCTGGAGACAATGGAATGCATGAAGTCTTTCTTAATTGGTTGGGTCAGAAAATTTTAATTTTCATTAGAAGCTTTATTCATATGCTTGCCAGGGTGTCAAAAAGTGTTCCCATATTCAGTACTATGAAGCAGCAGTAAGGCTGCTTCATAGTACTGAACAAAAGGAAAAAGTGTAGGGGGAGAGAAAGCACACAGCAGAGAACAAGAGTAGGAGAACAAGCATGACACAGAGAAATTAATTTCTTGCTTCTTGTCAAAACTTTTAATTTCAGGCTCATCAGGAGCCAGAATCATGAGTATACAAAGCCAGCTAGACATTTTAGAGGTCTATTACAAAGAGATTCTTGAGAATCTTACCATGGTATCAAATTGAGAAGATAAGGTATCACTGGAAGCATGTGATTGAAGGATACAATCTGACTTCAAACTGACTGAACCTCAGTCTTTCTCATACATATGGCTTTAAGATATGTTGGACATAGATCACTCTCCAAAGAACATAGAATTGCAACAAGACCAGTACTCCCTCAAGCTACTCTTAAAGAGAGAGATATATTCCTTATAATTGTGTCCCTGTCAGACTTGCTTAGATGTCTAATAAATCTTGGCAAGGAAATTAGTATCTTATTAAAAGCACTAGGAATTTTTTTTCAATCTGAAAAATGGCCATATCCATAGAAGTTTAAAACAAACCTCTATTTCAGTTCTGTTTCAGAATACAACCAGAGAGTTTTACAGACACTGAAGTGTCAGTAAAATTATAAATGTCAGCTTTCAAGCTATCCATTCAGTCAACAGAGGGAATGTTTAGTTAACAGATACAGAAAGTGAAAAGCTTCAATTTTAATAATCCAGTGAATATATATTGCTTTCCCTTTGTCAGGTTGAATAAATCTAAGAAAATTACTGTAGTGTTCTTCAAATCTTCCATGGATAAACCACAGCCAACTATTTGCTCTTCAAGTGAGTAGCAAAGCAACACTCCAAAACAATACCAGAGCACTCTCAAACACTTGGGACTGACTTCAAAGAAAACATAAAACTGAGGTACTAACCAGAAGCACAACAGACTTGTGGAGAGGGAAATCTAAGAAATTTCTTTCCAGCTACTGAAGCAAAACTATTGCACAATAATGGATGTCAAACAGAACACTGCATCAGAGGCAGAAAAAGATCAAACAATAAATGGCAATGTGGTGTGCTAAAAAAACCATTTAAACATTTAAATGCTCAGGTCACACCCACTAATAGCAAAAAAACCCCAAAAACCAGAAACAAACAAAGGCAGAAAGCCAAAACCAGAAAATCCAACATGAATCTGCATCTTAAAATATTCCATGTGCCTCTACACCTGCAACAGAGGCAAAAAATGGGAAGATGGAAAACAGAGAAGTCGTAGTCGTCTGGCTAATTTTGTACTTCTCCAGATGCTGTGCTATATGTTTGAAGTCCTCCTGTCTGAAGATAGCAAAAAGATAACAAAACAGGGTTTTTTTCACAGTTTTCCCTTCCTCTCTTTTTTAGTGCAAAGGTCTGGCTCTGCAACTGCAAGCCCTCAGATTGTCCTCACTTTCACTGGTCATCAATGATATTCAGAAAAACATCTGTGAAAAAGGCAATAATAACTTACACTACACCTAGCTTTTGGCCTTGGACTGTAGAATTACTGGAGTAACATGATTTTATTTTCATTCCTGTTCTTGATATGAGAGCTGCCTGTTGAGGTTTCTGGACAGAGTTTAAACATCAGATTACAGACTGCCACAAAAGACACAATGCCACCTTGCCATTCCCTCCTCCCCACCACATACTTTTTAGAACATTAAACATAAATCAGCCAAGTGCAGGATCAAGCCTAAGTTTTCCAGCCCATGCGTAAATTCTGCATAATTCAAATGCCAACAGCTGGTCTTGATTGCTGTGAAATCTCTCTTCAAGGTTCTGAGCTTATTAAGACAATCAGAAAAGACAGCTTGCCATCCAAAAATTAAATCCTTACTCTCTACTTATTGAAATGTTGCAATATTGGAACAAAATACATCATTGTTATCAGTGGTGATGCATACCAAAGTGCAGTGCATGTGATTTAAAATGCAAAGTAACAACACGGAAATTTTCTATCTACATTAAATATAGCTTTTTCAAGACCAAATAAATGGTGAAAAAAATAGTATTCATGAGTATTTATTTATCACCTAAATGTTACACATTCTATTTATATTTACTTTCTTATGCTGTATAAGCATGCAATATAACCAAAGTAAAAACAGTGAACTAATGACTATTTCCTGATAAACAGAAGCAATGACTGTAGATTCATGCCACTTTCAGTATTCTTCCCTGCAATTGTGCCATATGTGTTCAATAGTAAGAACAAGTATAGCAAGAAACAGTTTTACCACACAGTTACTATAATGTCGCTACTAAAAATTAATAAAGCCTCCTTGTGAGTCATCAATTCAATCCCAAGCAACAAAATATATTGCTCCAAATATTTCTAAATGTCTAGGAAGGTATCAAAACAATCTATCACAATTTCTCCATATATTTTCTTTTTACTGACACAGAATTTTGGGAAGTTTTGCTCTCAAAATCTTTTCACTCACATCATAAAATATTTAACAAAGTAGAAATTAAACTATTCCATACCAGAACATCATTTAATAACAATTGAGAAGAAGATTTTTTTCACCTTGCTATTATCAGTGGAGAGCAACCTTTTAATTTCCTGAAAGACAAAAGATATTTCCAGCAATACCTGCATTGATGCTCCTTCCACCCTTGCGACACAGGCAACTCTATCCAGAAAAGTCACAGTTACAGGAACGGCAACAAAGAAACCTTTAAAAAAGGCTTTAATGTATCTCCTCCCCAAACCCTGAGCCTGTGCCATAGTCTGAAAAACATGAAGGAAAGAAAAAAGTCGTTATAGAAAAAATTTGAAGTAACATCAACATGTTGCAATTTAACACAGAATAATTAAGAATAAACTTATTATCTGTTAGAGGTTCACAATATTCAGAGTGAAAAAAAAAGAATGTGCACATAGGAATGGAAAAAACCCCAAACCAACAAACCAGAAATCTTAATCAGATTTTAAATGTCTATTCTACAGAACAGAGCTTGATACTTCACATCTACCCTTTAGCTAATTTGAACATTTCTTGCGATCTTGTGCTAGCAGAAGTACTTGATACAAATTATTCAAGGTGGCAGGTAAGCAAGAACCAAAGTGATGCAAGTGGACATAATTTAATAATGCATTTTGGAAGAAAAAAGCATTGCAAATAATTTTCTCTCCACACACTGGTATTTATTCATTTTTCACCCCCAAAGGCGGATTGTGTTAAGCAAAGGAAAGCTATTTGCAACACATCACCTTTTCTTTATTAAATCTTTTCACAAATGAAAATGCATAAATGCATCATTTCCACACTGGTGGTACTGCAAACATAAAATCAATTCAAATTGTCACTTATATCATAGGGACACACCATAACATGATGACTGCTTGTACACCACTCCGTCACAAAGTTAAAAGTATGCTGGCAGACTAGGCAGCTACGTAATGACACATGGGATGATTCCACTCCAACTCCATGTATTACACTATCTCTCATCTCTTTTATTTAGCCCTGAACATGCTTGGAAAATACCTACAAAGTGCACTGAAACACCTGCTGTTTGTTTGTATTAGTCATACCTCTGAAAAGCAAGCTGAATATCCAGGTACTGCTGCATAGACCCAAGCCTAATTTACATAACTGCAGTTTTAGTATAAGAAATGCCGTCTTTCACCTATTGGCAACTCCCTTTTAAACTGCTGCTTCCACCTAATGAATCCTTGGTAGATCAGCTTGTGTTTATATCCAAGAATATAGAGTTATTTTTCAATTAAAATAATAAAAAGTGTAAATATATGCAGTTTCATTCAATCCTCTTACAAAGTACTTACAATTTCACAATATAATCCTTTTTTCTTTGTTGCATTTTCAGAAACATGGAAGTGATTAACTATTTGTATGCAGAATATAAACTGATATCACACAGATGAATTAGTACTGAAGGTAGTACTTCTGTCACAGATAGAGCTTCTTCATTCCAAAGAACCATAAAACTTAGAAGAGAAAATTCAGTTCTACAAAGTAAGCCATCTGCATATTTGTCACTAGAATTCTTTATAGATATTAACAGCTTTGCAATGACAGGCAGGATCTGTCTTCTGAGACTATTACTTCTGACATTCACCTTCAAAAGGTTTTAATTTTATTTTTTTTAAGTGGAAATATTTCATCATCTGTGACTTGCTCAAAGTTTAAATTTTCACACTGCTTATAATTCAGGCATTTTCTTTCTGAACATTTCATGAAAACATTTTCAATTTGCACCAATCACTTACAAATAATTTGAAATAGGTTATGAAACAGAACAAAAACCTCAACATTTCAAGACAAAAGCTATAAGGATTTACTCTCAGCTTATAATTTAAGAACTGGTTATTAGACTCAATCCACCAAAAGAAACTATTGCCTCAACCAGTAAAGCTTTACCTTTGGAAAATATGCCACCTAAAAATAAAATCTCTAAAAATCAGGGTTTTGTCCACCTTTTGACTACATTATTGCCTACACCTTAATACTCTTCTCTCAAACTATTTACTTTGAACTTTGCATCTCGAGTTTTGTGGCTGGAACTCTACTTCTCTGCTATGAGGTCTGGCATCTCAGACCTCCTCCGCTCTAATAGCAATGCCAGCCACAAAACCCCATTTCAAGACTTTACACACAAATATATTCACCATGTTCTCCAGAGTAACTTGAGCAGGAAAACACTGTCTGACGCATGTATCACAATACGGCTGATTTAAGAATAGTTTTTAAAAACTCAGAAATCAAACTTTACTTCTCTTAAAATTCCTCAAACATCTTTTTCATTAATAATGAAACATGAATCCTGTCTACTGAATCCATGGACAGATATTGTCATAAACCTCCTACAGAAGCCCCATGCTAGTATCTACAGAAAAATCCAGAATCTGAAGAGAAGTAATTGGTCAGACAATCCACAGGAGACCAACCATATGCTTCCTAGAACTACAAGCTAATTAATAGTGACAGAGAATCTAGCAGTCAGGTTAAAACTGCTAAGACAAAATGCTTCTTTCTCAGTACACCACTTGGACAAGGCAACACCAGCAGTATTAAGCAGCTGTGGACAACACTGGGAATTAAAGTCTTACTTTTCTGGGTTTGAACACATGTAGCATTACATGGCACAATATAAAAAAAATGAGGGGAAAAGCACCAGCAGCATCCCAACAAGCAATCAATTTGCAAAGCCACCAAAACCAACAACTTATGTGCTCAAGGACTTCTCTACTTGTCCCGAATTTTTTCCTCTCCTCCCCTCTCCTCTTGGTAAGAGATCAAACCACTGGTTTCATCTTCCCTGTACACCAAAATGATGAGTCCTTCATTCATAATGATGAGCTACATTCTGAACTTTTCCTGGTTCCCCATCTCCCACAGCAAAGGACAGTTTTTCCCCATAGCACAAACTGAGCCACTCAGCAGAAGCCTTTCTTCCCAAAAGACATCAAACACTTGCACACACATTTCAAACAGATTGAGAAGAACTATTTAAAAACAATCCATCTATAACCTTAAGTCCTTTCATACAACAAAACATTTTCAACACATAGCTAAGTTACTACACATCAGTATCTGACTTAACAGTGCCCACATTTTTGCCAGATCTGCTTCATAAACTTTCCCCTCTAAAAAGCACAAACGAGGAAATGCTCGAACATGCAGAGTTCCCATGCAACTGTTGACAAAATAGTTCACCACCCAACTGCCAGTAAATGGGAAGTTTCCCCTCACTCTTTCCATACAAGGAGCTTCAAGTTGTCTTGCACTGCCACAGGGGAAGGGCAGCAGAAAGGCAATTTGCAGCATTACCTTCTACCAGTAACTGGACATGTGAATGGATAAATTCACCTGATAATACTGCTGGATTAAAATGTTCAGTGTTGTTTTTTCTTAAACTTTGATGGTTGTAGGAGAAAAGAAAGGGAAAAAGTAATGATAAGCATTTACTGCACTCACAAGAGAGAATTTAGGGCAGTAAAGGGTAGACACAAAAACGACCCTTAAAAGAAAAAAATTCTGGTTGGAGTTTTTTTTATAAAGAAAACATAAGATAGTCATCATTCCTGAAGATAATATTCTGCTCTTAGAGATTTCTAAAATATCTGTAGATTTTAAAAGCATCATATTTCTGGAGTGAAATTCTGAAATACAGTGCAGTGTCAGGTTTACGATGACAGGTTTAAATGCATGTCAGTGAGGCAAGCCAAGTATTGTTTGCTGAAAAAAATAATTTCCCTAACACATATTTCTGTATCTCTGACCAAATTGACACCTTGAATAAGATCAACAAATCACAACACTTAAAAGATGTGGGGGGAAAAAAGGAAGTAACATAACCAAATACAAAAAAACCAGAATAAAATACTTTCGAGATGCATACACTTTTCAGCACCTCTAAGTTACACTTGGTTTAGGGAAAAAAAACCCCACAGAATAACTCAGTAGAACTGACAAACTTCAAACCAACAACCTTGAAAACTTGTTTGAACTGGAAACACGGACAAGAAAAATCCAAGATCAAAAATGCTAGCATATAGCAGGTCAAAGCATTAAGAATTTCACATTGTGCAGCTCAGAGATTAAGGCAGATGGAGCACAGCATTATCCAGACTGAAGTATTTGGTGCACAAAAGGTCCAGGGATTATAATGAGCCCCTCATGGGTACTACAACATATGGAGCAGAGATGCTATTTAGATAGCTCTCTATGTATAAAATGTTTATTTTTTCTTACACTTGCCTGCATGTTAGAAGACACTGTTTATCACACAGCCTGCAGAAAATCATCAAGTAATTCAGAAAGCCCCAGGTTACAATATATTTGCAAACCTAGGTACTTAAAAATTACCCACAGAAGTATGATAGGAAAAATAGCTGTAAAAACAAGGCATTAGCAGTCATCCGCAAAGGAAATAGAATGGCCCCTGATGTGCTTCTACAAAAAAAGTGAGGGAACAGGAAGGAGGGAATTACAACCTCTATGCAAAACAAGTACCCCATCAAGACTGCTACATTAGTGTGAAATTATCTATTTGATCTTGTTCAGGAATTAGTAACTATATGATATATAGTTCAAGAATCCATTGAAACAACCAACTTCTCTGTCAATCAAAATATGCATTTTTAAATAAATCAATTGCACCACATAGAATTCAGGATATATGGTTTGAAAATAAAGAAGACTTTCATAACAAAAAAGTCCTTAACACATGAATAAGCCCAATTTTATTGTGTCCTATAAAACATAAAACTGAGGACAAAAGCTTTTGTTTTAAGACTGTTCTAATTTGAAGATGAGGTTGTACCTGGCTTAATCACCATGATTAACAGGATACCATTCAGTATAAGAATTTGTGTGATCTTTTTAACACACTCTTTTTCTACAATCTTTCATGATACAAGGCCAGAGCTAAATACTGCCATGCAGCCTGAGCCTAATTTCCCATTTTAGTTTTACATTTCCGTAATTTTTATATTATAGTGATTACTGTAAGGGTACAAGTATGCAGAGTTTTTAGTAGGCTGATTTAACTCATATATATTTATCCAAGTACAGGCTTGGACATGATGGTGATGAATGCCACAGAAGAATCAAAATAGACTAGCCCATAAGTTTTCAGTTAGAATAATCAATATAGATCAGTGCATTTAAGTTTTCATATAAAAATCCTATCTAGTTCCAGAAGAAGCTCTCATTTATCCTTCAATAAAGCCAACTCTATCCTGGTATTATTCCACTACCGTGGTAACATGTCTATTCAATTAATGTATTTATATTCTGCACAGGTTTTACTCATCCTATTCCTTCATCATATTACTCTCTCTCCCCCAGCACACAGACATGAAAGAACACCCCTCGATTTTGAGTTTGGAAATATCTCAGGTCATGGAAACAAATGTTGTGTTACTGAAGAAGAAAATCATAAACTAATCTGCAATTTCAGCAACTGCACACGTATGCTCTGCTGTTCTTTTTTCTTTTCTCTAAATTAGTCTTTTTGTTCTGAGACCCAGATGTTTTGCTTGTTCCAAATACAAAGTAGGAGATTTTGTTAGTTTCAACTCCATTTTGTACAATTTTCTTATGCCTTTCCTTGAATTCAAGCAATTACAATTTCCATGTAATAGCTCTCAGCCCTATGAAATATGTAGAATTTTTCCAGTATACCACAGTAAAGAAAAACAATAATAAAAATCCATTTTTCTAATCTTCTCAGTGCTGTAACATACAGAGAAGTTCCCAGAAGCAGACAAAACCAGATCAACCATAATGAGCTTTCAGTTCACAAACCAAATAGAACAATAACCATCAACATAATCAGTCATAGAATTATTGCTGGGGGAAAAAAGTCAGTCTAATGTGGAACTGATTCTTCTTTTAATATACTATTACTATATCCCATCACTGGGATCTATGTCATGTCAAAGGCTTAGTTGATGTGTTGGTTGTAACTGGAAAGAAATTCATATTGCTTATACTTAGAAATTAATTTTGTGTTTCAAGTACACAGATTTTACCCTAATGGACAATCTTGTACTTCCAAACAGAACATTTTACTGTTCAAATATAAGCAAAACTAGAAGAAAACACAGCTGTAGATCAAAGTTACTCTCAGCAATCAAATTAACAACTAGCTTAGGATGGCAAGTAATCAGCCATCCCTTAGCTCTGACAAGTTATTCAGGATTCCATTTTATACACACAAGCATCAAGGATAGAAATTACAATTAAAAACATTAGCAATTGTTACAAATCAGATTTTTTCCCAGCACTTAAAACTTCAGATGTAATGAAATATCTTCCAAGTACTAGCACACAGGTGACTGGCAGAGTACCAGTCCTTCTAACATACAAGTTACAATATTTGGGTTTATTCATGTTCCTGCACCTTCAAAGAAACTAAAGATCATTAATATATACTGTAGATAAAGGAAAGTACTAAATTACATTGATTTTTGGAACTCACTTAAGAGAGCAACATAACACATGTTCAGCTTCTTACAACTGGAAGTTTTGTGTTGCTTTCAGCCTAAGGATTCAATGCCAGCAACCAAAGTTAATTGTTTAAATTAAAGTGTCCTTTGCAAATAACTACCAGCTGCTGCTATGTTTTGCTCTCAAGTAGACTGCATAAATGAGGAGTTACTTTGAAACTTACTGAATTTGTAAATTATATTTACAGTAAACAATATCATAACCTTTGAATTTCAATGAATTTGTGCATTCATCTAGTCAACTCTTTGGATTCTTTCAAGCACCATTGAACTGTGATGTTAGTTGTGGTTATCCAGAACCAAATTTAGGCAAAAACAAGACAACAAAAAAGAGGAAATATTTATTTTTCACCAAAATATATAACTTCAAGTATTCAGATAACATTCAATGAACAGCCTAAAAGTAAGAATAACAGCACTCAGCTTCAAGCATTAATATCATCAGAAACAAATTCTTCTAAAAGATTTTGCTTTTGGATTAAGAAGTTTCATATGGAACAGGGAAGGTTCTTCTAGCCTAATAGAAAGTCAAATGAATACAAGAACAAATTAATAGAAGAAACTAGAGTCTCAGCTATGAATCTTTAAAGCATGCCAGTATACACTGAGTATGAGGGCAGAATAATGACTGAAAATAATATCTATTATGGTATGAAAAAATGATGCCAAGAGAAAGAATAGAAAATTCTTTTACTATTTGAAAGGTATTTTCCATTTTCATCATACTTCACAAAAATAACTACCTCTCCCACAACTACTGTAAAAGCAGCTTTGTGTATCCTTGTTCAAAGTAGGGAAATTGGGACTGACTCCTCGACAGAAAATTCCCATGAAACCCAGCAGTAAAACCCAACGAATGAACTACTCACCATCTACTGTCTAAGGAATAGTAATAAACTAAATGTATAAACTAACACAGAAAATTATGCCTTCAAAAATAATTGCCTTTATTTTAACCACTCATGTTTTATCCTTGAACTCTAGAGGTCACTGTGGGAGTTGTTAAGAGCAGACCTAGGGTACTCCATCATTCCCCACCATATTGATTTTGAGTCTGGGATTCTTGATAACTTAAACTGCCTTGTAAGTTTCTCAGGTACCAAGAATAAGCAAAACAGCTTAACAAGCATAAGGATATGGATTTCCAGAAACAGATGAAATCTATGGCACCCTAGTCATCTTATAAAGATCTCACCACAAAATTACAACTGTGACTGTGAAACCCTTTGAATCTTCAAATTATTGCTAGCATGCTTAAAATATTATTTTCAGAGATGTGGATATCACCTACTATTATACCACATGTATAGTTATTTATCAACAGTTCCAGGAGAAAATGTATTTTGGTAAAAACATACACATTAAATAAAAGAACCTGTATTTTTTAAAGTAAATTAAAGACTCCTGATAATCTTCCAAATACAGTAGTTAAAAATGTTAAGTTTTTTTTACAAATGCATATGTATTCCGTTACAAAGCTGCATATTGGAAAAAGTCTAATTCTGAAGTTTTCTAGAGGAATTATTTCATTTAACCTGAAAATCCTCAAGAGGTTCTGTCTTCCTAGTATATTTTGTTGACAATTTTGATTTTCTTCCTAGACCAACAGTGAACAAGTATGTGTGGCATCTGCTTTTAGGAGAGAAAAAGAAAATAAAAATGTAGTGGTACAAGAAAGTTATTTAGAGGGATATGTAAAGCAGCTTTGCCTATTCTGGTATCTTGGTGTGCTCAATGAATTCCAGTTCCACAGAACCAGAATGGTAATTAACAAAAAAAAAAAAAAAAAAAAGAAAAAAAAGAAAAAAAAAAAAAAGGTAAAACTTCAGTGATGGAATACCGGCTAATTAAAACATTTTACAAAGTTAGAGTCTACTTGTTCTTCAGCTGCACTTTTTCTATCTAAGGTTTTTGCCAACTTTAAAAAAGTAGGAACACCAGAGAGACATGTCTAGGAACTAGCTGAATCTCTTCAGCTTCAAGCACTGCAGTCTTTATACACAGAAGCATTTAACTAAGAACAGATTGTAGGACAAGCACCAGACGTGGAAAAGCAGCCACTTTAGGACAAGTTATATCATTATATCATTATAAGCAAACAAACAAACATGAAACACAACAACAAAAAATTCTGTCTCAGATGTCCAGGCTGTAGGGTAGCAGGAAAGCCACTCCATCAGGCTACCGGAGAACAGCCATTAACAGTAGTCCTCATAGGACAAATACAAGATGTGATAGAAGTTTAATAAAGCAGAAAATAAAGCAGATAGAAGTTTAATAAAGCAGCTGCATTTAGTCCAGGGCCAAGCGCCGTGCACAGCACAAGTCCCAGTTGCAGACATGATGCCAAGGAACGGCAGTAGAACCCCGGAGTCGCTTCCAAGCCCACTCCCCCGCCAAAGCCACGCCGCCTTCCACCGGCAACCGGGCACGGCCGCCTGCCGCACCACCTCTGCCAGGCAGAGGGCGCACAGAGCAGCGGTGTTTCTCGCTATTGACTCGGCCGGTTCTGTTTAATCCAGTCCCTTCCCACGGGAAATAGCCCTCCCGGTAATCTGAGGGGTGAAGAAGGGAGGGATCGCACACGCGACTGGCGGCGGACAGGCGGCCGCGACCGCCATCAGCGAGCGGCGCTTCCGCCGGCCCGGCGGGGCCCGCCCCGGGGAGGCGGGGCCGGGGGCGGGGGCAGGGGCGGGGCAGGGGCGGCACCGGCTGCGGGCGCGAGCTCCCGGCCGGGCCTGCCGCGCGGCGCCTGCCTGTCCCCGCCGCCGCACCCTGAGCCCCCTCTGCTCACGCCCGTCCCCGCTCCCTCCTCCACCAGCGGGCTCCCCGGCCCCTTCCCCGCCCCGGCTCTCCGAGCCCGCCCGGCTCCCGTGGCTCCGCCCGGCTCCCGGCCGCTCCCGCCGCTTACCCTTTGCTCCGTTCCGCGGGGGGGCGGGCCGCAGCCGGCCGCGTCACGTGACGCGCGGGCGCGGGGCCCGCGGTGCTCCCGGAACGGCCGCCTCGGGCCGCCTGAGGGGCCGCGTCTGCCGCCGCTGCACCGCGCGGCCTGGCGGGCTCGCCTTGTGCCGCACACAGGGCAAGGCAGGCCCTGCACGGGATAAGGTGCTCGGCCTGGTCCTTTTTCAGCCCCCCTAGTTACAGTTTGAGTCCCCTAAAAATTGAGGATGCTGCATTGCAGTGGCTGTTTCCCTTCAGTGAGGATAGATATTCATATACATAAAGATATACTCTTGTGGCCATTTTTTGGCAATTGGACAACAATAAATCTCTTTCGATATTCATATGTGTGAAAAGTGCATATTATATGGCTCTACGCAGATATTTACTATATGTATTTTGATGTATTGATTAGTAGTGCTATATTAACATTTTAATAATATAAATGTAGTCTTGTAGTTAAAAGGTAACTTTTGTACTTTAAATAAGAACTATGTAAGTAGGATAATTTTTTAAGAAAGGAATGAGGCACTCACACCAGATGGCAGCCACAAGACACTTAAATCTTTCAGAGAAAAGGAATTTATTGTTCTCTTATCAGAAGAAACTGAATTGTTCCTGCCTAGGTAAAGATCAAAGGCGCTTTAGGATTAGGAGGAAGAAGGTGACGATGACCAGAGCGAATCCTTTGTTTGAATAGAATTTATGCATCATGTAAGGAGTGTATGAATATGCCACAGGCTATAGCTCTTAAGGGTTAATCCTTTGTTAACTGGGGTCCTTTTTCGGGCTCAAGCTGCCCAGAAAAAGCTACCTGGACATCTGTAACTCTTTGTCTCTATTGTCTCATATTGTCCTAATTCTAATTAATTGTCCAAATTATTATTACTCTAATTGTATTACTATTTTTATAACCATTTTATTACTATTAAACTTTTAAAATTTAAAAAAAACCAAGTGATTGGTGTTTTTCACAATATGTAATCCTGGGAGTTCTTAATATTTCAGTACAAAGCTGTTCTGTACCTTGCATACAGTGTAACCCACACAGAAGTGCAGGATTTTTGTTCAGCTGATGACTTCCCATGAGCACCCCAGATGTGGTCGGCACCGATGTCAGCCACATCTGGTGCATACAGAGCTGGCTGCATTGTACTGGCTTCATGGAGGGTGGCTGGGTCTTCCTGGCTGGTGCAGATGGATACACTAGGGCTTGTGCTTTCATTCAGTGATTAATTGTTTTTATTGGTTGCTGTAACAAATGTGGGTGCCAGTATAGTCTGAAGAAGGTTTTTCCACGTAGCTCATGTACCTTCAAGAGTCAGTGGGCAAGTTCATGGAGGGAAAATCCATTACAGATTATCACACACATAGAAACTACCTCTGGCTCAGGCTGTTCCTAACTAGAAGCTGGGAGATACTTCTACTAGTCAGGCCATTGTTGGAAACCAATGTAAGATGACACCTCTGCCCGTGTCTGTGCAGTCAGATATTTGCAATTTCTTGCTAAAATGTTATTTTTAAGCTCAAGTATAAAATTGTCCATAATTGAATTGATCTTGACTTCGAGGCTGAGCTATGAAAGTATGAATGCATAGTTCCCTGTAATCTGATCATGTCTTTCTACAGAGATAAAATATTTGCACAGTTGTTGATATAGGAGCCAACTATCTTAGAAGACACTGCAGTAGAGTACTTATTAATAAATTGAATTGGAAGGCACACTTTAAGACCACTTTTAGTACAAGGTCCATGAATTATGTACACATAGTCTATAAAATTTCTTGTTACACACTATTCCAAACACACCATGCCCAGCATCTTATAAAATCCTAACCTTTCGGCAATGCTTACTGCTTTTCATGCTTTGTTTTGTGGGGCTGGGGTGGGGGTTGGTTCATGGTGATGGTGTTATCCCACAGTCATTTTGTGCCCGGAATTGTCACTGCCCTAACTGCCTTCCCCCTCGCCTCCTGCTTGCCCCCTTCTCCGCCATGGCTTGGGGGATGCCGTGATGGGTGAAGGGGGGCCCGGGATCCTGCAGGGGCTGGAGCTGGAGCTGGTCCTTCCTTCCAATGCAGCATCCACACAGCATAGCGAGTGGATTTGACCTGAGATCCTGTTGCCCTGTAGGGTTTTTTATTGGTTTTTTTTCCTTCAGCACTGCAAGCAGGGCCTGCCGGTTTGCTTGCCTGCTTCCCTGCCACTCGGGAGCTGAGGGCCAGCGGTGTGGTGCCAAAACCCGGGACCAGGAGTGCCTCCTGCCGGCCCCCTGTGCGCTAGGCTCCGAGGCTCCTGTTCACCGCTGTCTCTACTCCACACGCCTGCTCGCCTTCTCCCTGTTTCCCGGCCATTTGAGGGTCCAGAGCCAATGTGTGGGGTGCCACGGGGACTGGGAGAGGGTCATGGTTTCCATTCCAGAGAAGTTCCCGCCTTCCTTTGCAGACACCTGTCTTTTAAACCAGAACATGCTTAAAACATTTTTATGCAAGAAACATAATTAGCTTTGGTGTGATTTTGTTTTCTGAAATACATTATCTGATATATATCACTTGATGCCACCATATATGCTATGCAAGGAAAACCAGTGATTGTTACCCTATGTCAGTTTTTGTTTTCCTTTGACACACTTTTAAATAAGCATTACCTTTGCAATCAAATAAGTCTTACTAATTTTGTTGTTGGTTAACTTTTATTTAATGCATTCTTTAACACATTTGAATATTGTGCTGTCTTTAGGATTCTACAGGTAGGTTATCAGTGCACTGTGTAGAAATCAATAGAGTATTTGGCCACTGATGTCCACTATGTCCATTTCATGTAAATATTTAACTGTGAAACCTTCACTAATTGTTTACAAATATTGCTGCAAAACACAATATTGTCTTTTCAATTGTAACATAAGAGAAACACCTTACAGGAATGTGCCTCAGTGTTTCCATGCACTTGAAGCTGACATTATTTCATAAGTCGCTCTAAAACTCCTGAGCTGAAACTCTTTTCAGATTAAAGATTGTTGCTATAAACCTCTCAAAATCAAATCATGGCTTGTAAGTTCTCTTCATTTTGAAATCAGGTGTGTGCTAAGCAACTAGCAGGAAATGCCCATTCTTACTCTTTATTTAGTTGTGGATAAAGTGAAATTTATCAAAGCTGATACTAAAAGTATGAGCTGCAAATGATGCATTATCAATGTTTGCACCGTTTCATTTTTTTTAATAAGTATTCTACAACAACTGCATTGGTACCCAAAAGTAAATGGCATGGTTTTTTGCTTTCAACTCTTAACAAGGAGGTACTGAAAATGTTTTGCTGCTTCTATGCTTTGATGCATCTGTGACTGAAATAAAGAAAAAACGAGCCCTTTTTCCCACCTCTTTAATTACTTTTCAGTTGAGAGTACCACTAAAACATTCTTGGCAATACACAAAACTTTTGCACTACAATATCCTTTTAAAAGACTCTCAAGAGACTCAAACAGCAAGCTTTAAGCTAAAAACACATTTACTTCTGTTTCCTCCAGGTCAATTTCATTTTGCATTTTAAGAGTACAGAAAATCTATCGGAGATATTCAAGACCTGCTTTGAGTTAAAGTCCTTACATTTGCAAATACAACTATGTGTAGGGTATTTAAGGCATTTTTATCTTCCTCCATATAGTAAAGGAATGAATGTTTGAGTGGTGTTGAGTGTACTGCTCTGGGGGAGTGCGTTTTGGAGGAAAATACTGGGCCAGATCCAGCTGCCTCAGAGCACAGGAAAGGTGCAGTGAAAAAAGGGCACAGGTTCAAAAAGTCTGATTGCTTAATGGATATTGCAGATGAACACTTCATATAGCCCAGCTGTGGCTTGAAGAACTTATGGCCCAAGGGCAGCAATCAATGGTGTGGCACAAAAGAGGGCAATAAATCTTAAACTTGCTATTGTACTGGAAAAAATATGATTGCAGCATCTTCAGTATTGTATTATTGCACATCTCCATTTCATTACATGACTGGGAACCTAACTCCTGCTACCTTTGACCATAACATATTATTCATGTTATGCCTCATACACACTGAAACACAGTCCAGTCAGAATAAAGTAGATTTTGCTTAGTTAGTCAGGCAAGACACAGAGCACTAAAGAGGTCTTTAGTGACCTCTACATTAGGGAAAAAGAGAAGAATTAAAATACAAGAAATTTATTTTTTAAATGCTATCATAGGTCAGTGAAAATAGCATAGTCTTTGAAGGCCAGAAAATATATCAATGTTATATCAATAACTTACACTAGTCAAGCTAATCATCTTGTATTCCTCAAGGAACAGTTATTACACTCATATTTTTGCTTAGGAAAGAAGAAAACAAACATGATTTACAAAGTCAAGAGTCTGTTATCAACATAGGTAAATTCTTGACATGCTCATTAAAGATTTTTCAGGTCAGATTTAATAATTAAAAAAAAAAAAAAAGAAAACAATGCTATTACAAGGAGAAAAAACATCTATTATAGACAGCCAAAGTTCTTGCAACAATTCCTAACATTCACCTCCCTGGTGTTTTGCTCACCCTTCGGTGTTTTCCACAGGTCTTTAGATGGTTTGGTTCGGTGTGATGGGAGTTGTTTGCTTTGTTACCCCTGCAACTGGCTTTTCCCAGCCTTCCAGGTCAGTGTATTTTTAGCTGACCAACACTGACTTGTTTACAACCCTGAAATTTCCAGTGTCATCTTGCACCTCCTCTCACTCCTGTCATTCCAACACTGTAGTCCCCTGCATTGCTTATTATGATAAGGGCATAAACATTTAATTTTACCAACTGCTTATTACTATGTGTTATGATTGTATCCCAAGATTATATAAAATTACCAAAAAGTAAAACACAGACACATAGTATATCTCCATTTGAAAGGGATCCATAAAATCTTTGAGTCCAGCTCCCCAGTCCCCACAGGACTACCTAAAGCATGTGGCTAAGTTGTTTAGATGCCCTTGAACATTGGCAGGTTTGTGGCTG